ACATAAAACAACTGAAACAAGTTTCCTCTAGAGGCAGTGATGCCATTTCCTGTCAAAAAAAGGAGTCCATATTAAGACATCTTATGAACCATCCTCACAAGAAAAGCAAGAATTGTAATTAACCTTCAGGGGTGATTAATCAGACGAGGCAGAGTCACCCCAAGGAAAGCCTGCAACCCCTTGCAGGTCCAAAAAAGGGACTGCCAGTAAATGTTCAGGAGACAGGATATTTGTAAAAAGCAAGTGATGACCAACCCCTGACATGAGGAAATCTTTTCCCCATAGGATTCCAACAGCAGAAGAAGCAGATCTAAAGCTTTCCTTGGGCTCCTTTTATCATGTGCACCTCAGCAACCCGCTTCTTGCTCATCCGCCTCAAGTAACTAATCAAGAGACCAAAAAAGAAAGAAAGGACACAACTAACACGTTTTATCTTCCAGAGCCTCTGGTACGAAGAGCACTCTTGGGCCTAACACCGTCACAATAAAGTTTTAAGAATGGGATCACAGGTCCTCAGAGTAGTTCTTGCTCACTGCAGTCTGAAGCCACTCTGATGTTTTCTGCACAACGTTGCCAGTTCGGTGCCATAAGAAGGGGAAGCAAGATTTTACCAGTATGTAAAAAACAAATTGAACACTAGTTTATCAGTCGTATTCTTTAAACTCCCTGCTTTTGCTCACTATCAGGCTTAACTGCTTCATCTGCACATGAGGTAAAACCTCACTATTCTCGCAGAATCTAGGAACCAAGCTGATGAACACAAGACAAGGTAGGGTGTAAAGGCCTTTCCTGGTTTGTAAAACCCCATGGTAGCTATAAAGCTACTGATAATTCATTATATACCAGTCCAATGGTTTACCTGGTTCCACTGTACACTCAGCATGTTCTAGCTATTGTTGCTTCTGAGGTACAAAGCCATCTAAATTCATCAACAGACTTCTGTATAAAGCAAGGTCTTTGGGAGCTCTCTTTTCACAGCAACTCCATATATCCAATAGCGTTAGAAGAAAGTTATAACAGTTTGCCTAACAAGCTAGCACCCATGTCACACCAAAGCCCATCTAACTTCGATCCGTGCTGCCAAGCTTCCCAACGCATACCAAGCGAGGGAGAGGAGGAGATATAACACCAAAGGCTTGGTCCTCAGGTAAGGTAGAAGGCATCTGAAATGGTTCTAGCATTGAGAAGCATTGCAGAGTTGAGCAACCTGATCTAGAGAGAGGAATCCCTGCCCATGGCAGGGGGGCTGGAACTAGATGATCTTTGAGATCCCTTCCAACCCAAACCATTTTACGATTCCTTCGTAGCACAACAGGATCCAGACCCAGGGCAACAAAAGAAGTGTCCATCCATTAGAAGTTGTGGTTTCCATCACCATCGACCCTTCCGCCTCAGCTTTCAAGAGCAAATTCCGCAAGAAAAAAAAAGAAGGATCACCGAAACAAGTGTAGCACCGTTCTCACAGCTGACATCTTGTTGCAGCATTTGGTACCAAGTAGCTACATATCAGGAAAACAATATCCAGATGATTCTCCTGATACCTACCCCAGTCTCTCAGTTACCTTTCTTCTAACCAGACCTATGCAGTTCCAAAGAACGAAGGGAAATAATGCTTCAAGGACTTTGGAGTCCAACTGAGAATTAGGACCATGAATTTAAGCTACAGACAGGGTCTCTGAAGGCCCTAATGGCTATTGCTACACTGAGTTTTAGAAAGTTTTAAGGGAAAAGGCAACAGCAGAAAAGACTTTAAAAAAAAAAAATCTTAAATAGCATCATAGAGCTGAGACGTACAAATCTTACTGTTCTTTTGTGCTGAAGACTTCATGCTTGTCCAAGTTGATTTTCTGCAGTAACACTTTGCCCTAGAAACCTGGAGACTTGTGTCCTGAACATCGAGAGAAACACTTAGTTCTGCTAATACAATAAGAAGAGTTCAAACTTTATTACCTTTATACCTTAGTGTGAAGCTAATCATGAGATTAGCTCTGACTAAACCCATTTCTCTCTAACAAGACTAAAACAGAACTGCTCAAGTCCTAGTGACAGGACAGTTGAACGCACACCTCATGCACAACAGATGCTCACATTTTAAGTTCAGTGGCCTATTCATTCATACAGTCACAAAGTAAGTGCATTCATAGGCAAAACAGTTGATGAATCCCAATACAGAAACATCGCCTTTTCTATTAGCTAAAAATACAGTAAAGTATCAGCCCAAACAGGCGTGACTGGTACAAAAAAAAAAGGCCGCTTTCCCCTCCCACTCCTCCAACTAAGAAGGTTTTTGTAATACTAAAGTTCAAGTGATTAACTATGGTGCTCAGACTGGCCGTCAGCATGACAGTTCATTCACTTCTATCGGGATTTGGAACTGAGCCCCTGCCCAGCCTGGGATGAGTCAGTGAGAGACCAGAGCACCAGTCACTCCGCGTGAGATCAGAAGCCTTCTCCTGGCCAACACACGGACCCGGCAAGAGACTTGTCAGAGCCTGACAGTGGCTTGTGAGAGGCCTTTTAGCACTCATCTGCTTCCACCCCTCCATGATACAAAAGCATGGGGGGAAATTATATGCCCTCTTCGGTGTGTGCTTTAACAGTTTACGTCTTGCAGACTTTTCAGAACAAAAAAACAACCAATAAATCAGAGTTGGTTGCCTCTAGATAAAACCACCAGGCCTTCCTGCGGAGAGCACAGCAGGATCAGCAGGCCAATCCATGACGGACTTTCGACGGAACCTACAAGGCCTCCAGCCACCAAACCCCCCAGAACATCCCACTTCACCACCACAGCAAAGTCATGTGCCACCAGTTCAAAGGTTACCAGAGTTAATCTCGGATTCCTATTAATAGTGCACCAAAGCACGGTGCCACTCGGAGCAGGACTCATGTAGCAAAATGGCAATCTCTAGCCAGATGTGTTAACATTTAGCCCAGCTTAAGGAGGAGCAGGGACTCGGAACTCAACAGGTTTTGCTGCTCAGGCCATGCAGCAGCATGTTCTGTTAAGCCTGGTGAGATGAATGATAAGAGCTACCAAACACTCTAGACACAAATGTTTTTCCTGCCCAGCCAGAACTGTTCCCTGGAACATTTCCTCCATCTGTCTTCTTCACAATGGATTTATTTTTGTGATGAAGCCCACATATAGCTACATCTAACTGCTCCAGTTTCACCCACATTTGACCTTAATTGAGGAAAAGTCACTCGCATTTTACTGTTTTGTTAATTAAGTAGCTATTAACAAATCTCAAGCTAGCACGCTAGTAGTCATGTTGCTTTCACATGAAGAACTGATTACAGAGTTACGCCAGCATATCCTGTTCCTGCAAACCACAGCTCAAGAAATAATGTTTAAAATATTGTTTCGGTTGGGCCTGCAACTAGGGCAGATGGGGCAGGAAGCCTGAGGACTGGTGGCTGACACAGGGGTATCCTGCAGCTCCCTGCCCCACCAGGCACCCAACGCTCCAACCCCCTTTTCTGCAGAATCCACAGCGTGAAACAGTGTCACAGCCAAGCGCTTCCATTTCTTTATCTGTTCAAAAAAAAAAAAAAGGCTCCAAAAAAGCAGAACTGCTCTGTCAGAAGCAGAAAGCAGCAGATGGAGAACATCAGCCCAGCCCGAGGGTGTGCCTGTGGATGGAGGGGCTGAACCCAGCACCTCGTAGCCAGGTCGGGATTCAGCCTGTTGGTGGGAAATCGGCTTCGTAAGCGTCTCCGCAACAAGTTCAGGATTTCTTGGGTGATTCACACCAGGAGAAGTCACTCATCACAACTGTAATCTCTCCAGCTAAAAGGTCTCAACTACCTTTTACACCGAAGTCCCCTAACCTGAGCTACTTCTGTTAATCTTACTTTTTTTTTTTTAAGCAACTAACTCTTCACTAATCATTGTTGATGTTCGAAGAAAGGCCTTTCTAAAGCTTCAGAAAATACTGTCTTAACCTTTAAGTGGCCTGAGTTTGATATCCTTTTAAGATGTTGATGTTTAAAAAATAATAATAATAATCCAGCTATTGTCTCAGAGAGCTGGCGCTTAAGACAGCAGGAAAAGCAGAAGTCAGTCAAACAGGCATTTGATATCTATTTTAAAGTAATAAAATTAAACCCTATGTTAAAAAAAAAGAAATAAATCAGGGTGGATTCCGTTTCAACTTCCACTTGCAGAGGGGTGGGGTTTTGTTTAGGATTTTTTTCTCTCCTTTATGTAAACCAGAGACTCTTAGCTTAAACATTAGATGTTCTTAAGGCCGTTTCAGATCACTCCCTGGGAGGAAACATCCAGAGCTTTCCAGCCCGCTCCTTCCTGTTTTATCAATGAAGGGGCTCGGACCAATTCTTTTACTCCAACCGGGAGAAATTAAATGGAAAAACCCCAACGCTCCTCGTTAGTCACCGAGCTCCTGCTGCGGGAGGGAGAGTCAAGTACGGACTTGACCAGACTTTCTGAAGTACCGAGATCTCTCCAGCCAAGAAATACTTCGAGTCAAGCTGGGACAAGGCTCCCTTAGCAACTCAACCCGACTAATTACGAGTTGTGAGGAGGAAAAAAAAAAAAAAAAACACCACCCAGCTTCTCCTCCTCAGCACGAGAGCACGCGAGAGGCGGCCATAGAATTAATTAACGCCCGGAATTAATGCTGTGGAAGAGCTTCCCCGGGCACACGCGTGGGGCGGGGAGGGCGGCGGGCACCGGACATCGGGGCGCTGCCCCGAGCGGGGCCCGGGCCCTCTCAGGCCGGGGGTGCGGCGGGGCGGGGAAGCACAAGATGGAGGGGACGGGCGGCTCCGCTCCCCTCCCGCCTTCCCCAGCGATCCTTCCTTCTTTCCCCTTCTCCCTCCCGGAGCGGCCACCGGCTCCGCCAGCGTCTCCCGGGCGGGGAGAGCCCCCGCCGTCCTCTCCCTCCCGCCGTCAGGCCCGGCCGCCGCCACACCCGCCCTGCCGCCGCCATGGCGGGGCTCCCTCCTCCTCCTTCCCCCGCAACCCCTGCACCCACCGTTTTCGGCATCTTTCCGGCGGACTAGGGCACGGCGGGTCGCTCCTCCTGCGCCGGTTGGGGATCTCGGCGGGTTCCGCGCTGCTTCTAACGGGACTACCGCGCCGCGCCTTCTCCGCCCGCCTCGCCGTAAGCCCCGCCCGGGCCCGCCCCGTTTTGCCGGCCACCTCCCGGCGGGGCTGGAAACGCCGCCCCCCTGCCTCGGCCGCCCCTCAGCGGGGCGCGGCCCGGCCCCGGCCTCTCCGAACCGCATGGCCCGGACGGGCCTCGCCCACGCGGCTCCGGGAGGCCTCGTCCCCGGTGGGGGGACCAAGGGATTGTGTCCTGTCCCCCCCGTCCCCGTCCCCTGCGAGGGGTCCGCTGTCTGAGGGGAGTGGGCAAAGTCCCACCTGGCCCCGAGCCCCCAGTGGCCCCAAAACGGCCTAAAAAGCGCCTCGAAAGCCCCGAGCGTGGAGGTTTATCCTCATATCAGGTGTCGCGGGCGCTGCTGGTCATTGCGAAAAGCATTATTTTAAAAAATAATGCTATTTTTTTTAACGGGGGGGGACGGTTGTGGTGTTGAAAGTAAAAGCAGAGAGCACTGCCACGTGCTGGGCATAGAATCACAGAAGGGTTTGGGTTGGAAGGGACCTTAAAGGTCATCCAGTTCCAACCCCCCTGCCCTGGGCAGGGACACCTCCCACCAGACCAGGTTGCTCCAAGCCCCGTCCAACCTGGCCTTGAACCCCTCCAGGGATGGGGGTAAAGGGAGCATCTGTGGTTCATTCAGTGCCCAACCCAGCCCAAACCCCCACTGGCACCCACAGCTTCTCTGGGCAACCCTTTTGTCTCTCCTTTTGTCTCTCATTCAGCCTGAGTCATGCTCTCGCTTGGGGTGCAGCTCAGGGATGGTGCTCAGCCAACAGTCTCCTCAGCCCTTGGCTGCTTCAGGGAGGGATGCTGTCATCTACAAGGTTGTCAGAGCTGTCTTTAAAAGCACACATCCAGCCCCAGGTGTTTCAAAAGTACAAGGGGCTGTGGCTCCCTGAAGCTTGGCAGGCAAACCACCTCTGGTCTTCAGACCTTCTCAGAGGCTGCCACCATAATCCCCATCAATCCATGGATGAAAATACCTTGAGAACCACTCTCCAGAGCTTCCCAGTGCCATCTGGAACCTCTGACAGAGGGAATCAAGGTCCAGCATATTCACAGAGATTTGAAGAAGCCATCTTATCATATTTTTGACTTGTAACATAACTGTCAAACAGTGACCCAAGTCCTGTTTTCTCCCGGAAAAAAAAAAAGAAAAAAAAAGTCATTCTTTTTACAGTTAACAACTTGCGACCAGAAGAAGGAAATGAAATGTTCTCAATAAATTTAACATCCTATTCTTTAAGGAAAGTAGAAACCTCTCTTCCTATTTTGCTTGAGTTTGTGTCTTGTCAAATCCGCTAAATATTTTCAATATTTTTAAGCCATCTTGGTTGATGGAAAGAGCATGCAGACTAGCTGTACTTCAGACCTACTTTTTTTTTTTTTTCCAGTATGTTGAATAAATGAAGATTGTGTTAATATGAGAACACATAAATTGAGATATAAAATAGGAAGAGAGCAAGCCAAGCTCTACCAGGCAGTTCAGCACAGACTCCTGCTGAGAAAACTGCTTTCTTTAATTTGATTACAGGATTCTGCTGGGATTAATATTAAACTGAGGTATGTTGGGAATTGACATCAGATTCATAATAACACTTTGTACGTCTTTAAAAATTGCAGTTCATTCAAAAGATCTCAAACTGCCTTGTAAATATCCATAATTAAATCCTCAGGGTCTGCAGAAAGGAAATTTCTCTTTTTTTTTTTTTCTTTTCCCCAAGGAGTAATATTGTTGTAAGAGTATATGTAATATAACACAAATAATTTTTAGGGAGGCTTATAAAATGTGTTGATTTGCTTTTCAATGTGATGTTTCCTCGCCATGCGGCATTATGTGAGAAAGAGAAAATCCAGAATAGTTCTCACCCTATTAAAAAAAAAAAAAAAAAAGGAGTTTGTAAGAGACAAGGCCTTGTCTTACCCCAGAATAAACTGGGAATAATACTACAGAGAGTAATAAAACTACTTCTGTGCCCACCTGGCAGGAGGTGGAAATGGGGTCCATAAGCTTTGTTTGCTTCACCTGAATATGCAGGTTTCACATAAACTAGAATCTCTGTGCTATGTCTACACAGGAAAAAACTTCAGTATCATTGGATTGGTGTAAATTAGTGTAACTTTTCAACACAAAAAAGTCACAGGGTCCATTAGAGCCTATTTTACAAAGTTTTCTTCCTTTCTGACTTGTTTTTACATTGAGACTTCCTTAGACTAGATCAAACAAAGATGCTCCACGAAAGGGTTCCGCTTGTTTCCCACAGAAATTGATACTGGCAGAAGAGATCTGGAATAATAAAGGCACTTGCTCGTGGTTTTAACAAGTGACAGAGGGCACCCATGGTGCCAGGTTTGGATCCAGGAATGTTAGGTGTGGGCTTTCTCACTGGGTTCGAGTGGCTCTGTGGAGACTCATCATCCTACATGATGGGGAGGGCCCGATTCTGCTTCTGTTGGGACTTCTGTTCCAACATCCCTTCATAAGGCTGAGGTAACTGTTTGGAGGATAAACTGTTTGGATAGAAGTCTAGCTATTTCCTTGCCAAATTTAAGGATCCATAGTTTAGCATCCAGGCACCTAACGTTTTCTCCACAGCGCTAAGGACAGGAGCCGTGATGCAGTGAGACATCAGATCCCAGTGCCAGTGAGACAATCAGACCCAAAGCATCTTCGTTCCCCCTCACAGTGTGCCAGGCGTCGCCCGTGTGCTCAGAAACTCATAAACCGCCTGTCAAACAGCCTGAAGTCTTCTGTGAGACAAAGCAAAGGGAATCCTGCAGCGAGACAGACACTTCTTTCTCACCCCAGCCACTTCTCCTGTCCTTCTTCTCTGTTGCTCACAGCAATAACCAAACAAAATACCATTCATGCCACTTGAAAGACAAGGGTTCCCTGTGACAGGCACATGAGTCTCTCCACTTTACTTCCTCTCCTGCTTCTTCCTTTCCTCTTCCCCTTCCCTGTGGAGGGGGAGGACAAGACATCTGAAACGTTGGAACTGAGCTGAAACTCGGTGAAACCCATGGGCCTGGTGCATCCAGCTGCAGCGTGGTGAGGAATCCCTGCTGCGGGGGTTGCTGCACCGAGATCTCACCTCCCTCCCGGACCTCTCCTTGGCCAGGCACTCAGGAGGGGTGGTGGTATCCAACAGCCCCAGCCCTCCCTGCCTGGCCGTGTGTGAGAAGAAGCACATCCGTGGATTCCTGGAGAGCCTCAGGCAGGGGTTATCTCTCCTCCCAGGCTGCAGGGTGAGATTCCAAGGGGTAAAAGTCTCAGCTGACTAAAGATCCTCCCTGCAGGAGGCTGTAAAGATGAGTAACATTACCCAGGGCCTCAAAAATGCTGTTATTTCCAGACTGCTCAGAGCCCAAATAATATTAAAGTATTTCAGAATTAGATTAGGCCAGGATGACATTAAGCACTCTCCTGGGAGGAGGTCTGGTATTTCGCTGGGGATTTATTGTCTTGGTTTCACTTACATCAAACCTTTTGTAGTACCTTCTTTTAAGCAGAAAAAGCACGTAAATTATTTGGTCTGAAACACCAGAATTATTTAGCATGAGCACTTCAACAAGGGGCCATTTCATCAGCATATAGTTTTTTTGGACTAATACTGGGTAGCTTGAACTGCTCTTTACGTACCTTTGACTGAACACAGAAGTCTTATTCCATCGAGCTTGTTGCAATGTAATTAAAAAAATCAAACAAACAACTCGAAAGGTGTTCCATACTAGGAGGTGTATTTCAGAGGAGGGAAAGAAATTTAGTTTGATTCACACAGGCAAAGGGGGGCACAAAAAGAGATTGTTACCATAGTATGAGAACTACACCTTCACCACACGGTAGTCCTGGATTGTCCTCTATTTAAAATTAACCAGTCTGGTTATGAGCTATTCTTTGAAGAGCAGATGCCTTCTTTCTCCTGCTTGTACAGTTTCTTTCTGCTCAGACATTAATGCCCACAAGTTCACAGTGAGATGCCCTCGATGATGATCTTGGATCATTTTAGTGTTTAGAGGGAAAAAGCATCTTCTCTCCCAAACACACACAATCACTCTTTCCAAATACCCTCACCTTGTTGACACCTTTGTGTTTTGAGCATCAGGGTCATCTTTTGCAGTGATTTTCAAGCTGGGAGGATGAGAGGGGTAAAGGAAAGGGAGAGCACACCACATCTAGGGAGGCGGGATTCAAAAGGGCTGAGAATAATTCTACTCCCACTCAGCTGATGGGACAGGGCAGAAGACGATGGGGCCATTGGAGGTGTGACCCCACTTATCTGACCCCTTTTCCACCTCAAGGAATGGAGCTCATTACAGTGTATGGTCCCAGCTTCTGGTCGTCCATTGCCCAGGGCTGGAACTGCCTGGAAATCTCCCAGGGATTTGAGTCTGCCAGATGCTCTGTAAAGCCCAAGTCTAGTTCCCTCCAGCCCAAGTCCCTCACCGCCCATGAGGGCCCTGCAAGGAGCAAGGGAGAAGGCAGGGAAGAGACAATGACGCACTGTATGACCCATGCTGCTCACCCCACCCTGAGCATCTGGGGATATGCCATGTTTGCCTGGGATCTGATGTGAAGAGGAGACTAAAGAGGAGACTTTCAAACCAAGCGAAGGGTGTGCAATGCATGCAACGACCATAGGGAAAAAATGTAAGAACCATCCGTCTGCCAAAAATTGTCTCTTCTTCAGTCGTTCTTTCCATGTACCATAAGGGAGCAAATGCTCATCTGTTGCTTGCGTTCTACACCTTGCGCTGCTGCAGCAACGAGGGGAGCAAAGGGAAATCTAATGGGTCTTCCGGGACCTCACTGCAAATATTTACAGCCCAAATAACAGATAACATAACTAGCAAGGACAAAACAATGAACGGGGGATATGTTTTGCCAGTTTGGGTGAAAGGTACTGATGTAGAAATGCTCTGAAATCTGCGCAGGATTGGGACAACGTGAGCTTTGGAGACTGACGCTGGCGCCTTCTTCTCAGAGCAAAGAAGGACG